CCCCCAAATCCTACATGGGGCCTGGTGGCATCAACTCTATTTTTTTAATGTTAGTCAAATAATGTAGGCAGAATGTTTTTTGTAAAGAGAGTAAACGAGTGTATTTTAGGGATGGATCAAGCATGTTTATAGCATTAATGTTGCAAAACAATTTCGGGAGTGGAAATGATCTTAATTTTTTAAAATAGAAAATCAACAAAAACAGCAACAATGTTCCAAGCAGCTGTACACAAAGCCATTTTTTTTTTTTTAAATTTTTTGGTGGGATATTCATTTCGGAATATGAAAATGCCACAAAACTCATAAAGAACTATTGAACTCACAATTCAGCTTTTTCTGCAAAAACTACTAAAGGAGATGTTAATTTAATAGTTTGCTATTTTAAAATTTAAAAAATCATTAAAAAATTACTGAGAAATTAAAGTTAAAAAATAATAATTCCATATTGCTTTCATTTAACTCACGAAATCAAAATCTAAATGCAATTAAAAAGAAGAACAAAACTTTTATCCTTCTAATTTAAACAGAGGGTATGATATATATTATTTTTTTTATCCCTCAAAATCTGTAATTGGTAAAGCAATATAACAAACATTGAAAACTACTTGATATATCAAAATTCAATTATTGCTGGAACGACATTTTTGTTTTAAATGCGGAAATGGATCATTAGGATGCAGATAAAACAATCTTTGTTTTAAAAATAACCACACTTTATTGAATTATTAGAAAGAAACCTAAAATGGGACGGTTTAGAATAAAGAATTAATTTAGCTGGATGGCTTGTCTTTCCTTTAGTTCCATGTAACCTCAGAGGGAAACAACAGGTACACACTTTGCTATTTTTATGCTTTAAAAAAGAAAATTAAAATTATATATGGGTAAACATCATAAATTATCAACAAAGATACACATTGGATATGATTAAAGATTATTTTAATTATTCACGGAATAAACATGGCGTCTCGTCTGTTTAAATTTTCGTATGAAGGAGTTGGTTCACGAGATTTTTTTTTCCCTCTTTCATAGAAAAAAAAAAAAAAAACAGAATCACAAACATTTGATTAAAGGAACAAACAAACCCATCAGTTTCCTCTATCAAAAAAAAAAAAAAACCCATGCAAACATGGACTATATTATTATGGTGATCACATAATTTATAGATATAAAATATATATGTATATAAAATATACCATGGAGTAGTTTGATAAAGCTTAGTAATGAGCAATAGGTTTAATCAATCTCTGTGGACATTTCAACTGGCTTAGGTAAAGACGAGCAAATAAAGATAAGACATTTAACAATTTAAAATTCCTTCCGATTTTTTTTTTTTTAAATTTTGGTTGCAATACAAAAAAAAAAAAGTTGATCAATCAGCACTATGGTAACATTGTTTAAATTCACGGACAAGATATTGAGGTTGAAATATCAACAATTCCTGTTTTCATCAGCACAAAATATTCTCTTTGAAAAAGATTTTAAGGGGGAAAAAAAAAAAACTTTACAAAATTTTTTTAGGAAAATATGACAGTTTAGGTGTAAAAGGTACAAAGCTGTAAAGGATTGTTGGGATTCCCATAGTAGACAAAAATGATACCCACCAAGTATTTCACTTTACTAGTTCTACAACTTAAAAACTCTGAAATCGTTGACCGCTAATGTTCTGCCGTTATTTCCTTAACTGATCTCAGCATGATACATGTACTTGTAAAAGGTGCAATGCCGCCACCAAAAGAAATATTCATCCACTGCTGCTTGCATACAAAATTATTGTGTGAAATAAAATATTGCTGTAGAGAATTTAAAAAGGAATTATTGTTGTTCCTCAAATTGGTGTGATAAACTTCACTTCAACATGTTTACTTTTGGACCGTTACACAACCCAGGGTAAACATTATTTATGGAAAATTTGCTTTTTTGAAAATCAAAATTTTGCTATATGCATTGTTTGCAACATTCTCAAAATGTTTGCGATGTTTTAGAATTAAATTATTGATGTCATATGATTATTTATAATTTACTTTGGCAGATGTAGGAGAGTTTTTTATGGTGGCATTCCACAGGTATTCAACAAATGCATGAGTAAATCAATTTCTATCTTACAGTTTGCTTAAGTTATCTCCAAAAATGTTTAAAAAATATAAATATGTATATAATACTATAGCTAAAATGAATGCAACTAAATGAGAGAAAATGGATAGAATAAATAGCAAATGAGTTAACCCAGGAGAGCTGCTGGTGGGTTACCCTCTAGGTTACAGGACAAAGACATGCTTTCATGGTGATGAAATGATAAATACAGCATGTGTTTTGGAATAACTAAGTACATTTTTGACATGCTTTTTATGGAAAGGGCTAAAAGTAAAAGAAAACATACTGGAAATATAATCCTTTACAAAAAAAAAAACACAAAAAATTGGTTGACCTCTTCTATTTACATAATTGTGTAGCAATGCCTTGTAATAATTACACTAATAAGACTTGTGTGAAAACATTTAACCAAGATTTTGCATTATAATTTGAAAAAAAATTGCTTAAGATTTGCCTGTGAGCCAATAATCCAAATATATGAAATCAAAAGCCTGTTGCCTTTTTTCTCCTTCTTTTTTCAAATAGTCTGTTTGTTAATAAATTCTGTATTTCATTTAATTAATTTGTTCAATCAACTAACACTAGCATTTTACCTTATGGATATTTTTAAATGAGTGTTATTCTCACTATGTGTTGACATAATAGTTAGTATCCTTGCAAGTTAAGATGTGTCATAAACTGAACATTTGTCTTCACACCATCTTGTCTCATTAGGGCTGTATGCCTTTGCAACAACAACAAAAAATTAGAACAATACAAAGAATTTGAAAGTTATATTTGTTTCTTCTTTATGTATCATGATTTCTTCATCAAAATTCCATAAATAATGGCAATAGCGGCAAATATTCAACCAAATTTGTCAGAAGAAAATAGAATAGAATGTTTTAAAAGCACAATTTTCATATACATATATTCATGGAGTTAAAATTCATCAAGTAACTGCTAGCATACGTTGTTAGTAATGCTGGGCTGATAGGCAAACTTAGTCGTCTTCTGAGCTTAGTCAGTCATCAGCTTACATTCTCACATTATCGAGCATATCAAAATTTTTTTTTTGTTTAAATGTTCTTTTCACCTTAGTTTTGTTTCATAGAAATGGGAACATCTCTTGAAAGATGACTGAAAGAAAATCCCTGTTACTGACAATACCCTGTTCTAAGACAAAAATAAGGATGGCAACAGTTCTGACTGATTTTTACACAACAGAAACAAAACTCATGAGATTTACAAGTTGCATTATCTCTTTAACCCGTGACAAGAATTAAATTTGCCAAAGTGAGGCTCCCGTTTACTGCCAGAATGGAGACTTTGGTAGAAATTCATTTTTAAAAACAAACTATTTACAGCATTTTGAAACTTCCATACTGGTATGTCTGCAATACAATGTGGAAACTTATGTCTTGAATCAGTTGGACTAACATTATAGCAAAAAAATATGCCAGACAAATTATTAATAGGCTCATAAAATTCCAAGGGGAAAGAATGGGGGGAGGGGGGGGGGGCGCACGCCCGACAGTACAAGTTTCGTGAGTGGCAAAGAAAGTAGAACACGCTCCAGGAATGACTTCACTGTTTTAAAAAAGTGGAGTATACAAAGAAAGGATTCAAACTGCAGTTGCATTACTAAGATGTGATTCCTCTTCTTTTTTTTTTTAAAATTTAAATTCAGCATTTTACTCAGCAGTAACTAAACATAAATAACCCCCACACAACTTCCAGTTACCTGCTCAACATTTCCATTGTCATATTTTATAGTTTATTTAATAATGGACAGATTGGAAAATAATATTGACACCATTAAAATTAATTTGATTGATAGAATCAAGGGTGACATCAATAAAGTTCAACAACTTAAGCAGCTGGTTTCTTTCTAAACAGCAAAGCAGGCAATAATGGAAACCGTCTAAATAGGAATGATTTTGATATCCTAATGACCCGTCAGTTATCATAATGACTCCTGCGTCACATGTTACATGAACCAGAGATGACTAATTATACATTGCATGTCAGTGTGATGTTCAAACTACAAATTTTAATTGAACTGTTACAGAATTCACATTGTGGCTAAGGTCTTAGAGCAATTTTCTTTTGCACATTTCCAATCATCCTAATAAAATGAATTAAAAAATATTTCTATTTGATTGAAAAAGAAAAGAAAAAAATTATTCTCAGTTATTACTTAGCACCAACAGTTTTGATAGATAATGACAAAAAAGCTCTTCAGCAATACCAACGTGAAACTAAATTGAAACTAATTTGAATAAGAATTCAAAAAAACATCTGGAAGATATAGACCTCTGAATTTATTTGAGTAACATTAAATTAATTAAGAAAGGGGGGTCAACCGGTGAAACCAAGACAGCTGACTGGAAGAAGTTTTTGGATACTAGGCCTTGTCACCGTACAACATCCTGATCATACTTCCAACCATCAGCTGTAAGCACACATTTCAAACTATTGTGTGTGTGCAATGAAATATTAGTATTTCAATGTCAGTGTAGAAAGATGCTATTGTCAAGTTGTCATTAACAAATAGGCAGACCAGAAGAAACCTTTCCTTCACTTAGGAGCTTCAATTTACAGCACACCTGTCCTCTTTTATTTAACTAACAATTTGATGGATGGGCATAACCTCAAAAGGGAAACCACCAGATGGTGAGAAGCTAATGTTTAAAATAAGCAGGCTAAATCTTGACTAGGAATTTTCACACTTGCAGTTTCAAACAATATACAAAGCAGAAAGATTCTAGGTTAATGATCTGTTGTTTTTTTTTCTGAGTAAATAAAACAAAGCACACAATAATTGGCACACTTTGCATAGCCAGAACAAAAACTGTAGCTTTAACATATTCATCAAAGCCATCAATTTTATTAGTTATACTGTTTTAGTCCCCAGCTTTGGACTGGACATTTTTTCTTTTTCATTGAGTATTCATAGTTTAAGGTTTGGCCTGTTTTAAAGTTTGACGAGACACCTGATTCACACTGTCAGGATCATACAATGACATGATGGATCTCTTCGCTGAGACACACATAAACTTTTCTTTAGCTCCTTTATATTGTACTTGACACGACTCTCGTCTGTTTCAAATTTTTAAATGCCACTTTAAACAAACTTCCCCATATCTAGAAAGTTGAAAGTTGGCAGGCAAAATTTTTTTTTTTAGATGACTGATATTTTCAATGCAGGAATGCAACATTTAAAGTAATATCAACTATTGTTACATTTTTCATTTACATTTCTTGAAATAGCCTACCTTTCAAAAAGATAACTCTTAAAACCTTTATCCTCAAGCTATACATAAAAGGGGGTAATTATAACCTTTAGTTGTGTTTTTTTTCCTTTAATTTATCTTGCTTTACAACATCTTGTCGTTAAAATGCCAAAGATATTTTTGTGTGTTCACATTTCAATTTGAACAACCTGCCTCATTCCCCATCAATTTCAGTAAACTGAGCCTCCTGGCTTAGCTATAGATGTTTATCATTAGCACGACAGGTCATCGATTTATTGTCAAAAACAATACATTTCATTTTAGAACAATATACTATGGAACAAGCAACATTTCACAGTTATTGATAATAAGTCAGCTACACATTTTTTGTTTGCTAGGGCTTTCAATTGAACTGAACACTGCAATATCCAACAACACAAAAAAAGTCCTATCAAGACTTCTGTCAAACTTTGTCACATCTGGGTAAATACTATGGCATATATCCTGACAATATTTTTATCATATGATTCTCGTATTCATAAATTAAAAAATTATCTGATGGAAATTTTCAGCCTTAGTTAAGTCCCCCCTTACTTTACAATCCATTAAAAGCATGCCAAGATAAATTGTTTTAATTGCGTTTACAACTTTGATGACATTTTGTTATGTTGTTGAAATAAAATATTCATCCTCAATTAAAAAAACAACTAACCAACATAAAGTGAAAGAAAGCTTTTTTTTAAAAACAAAACTCTGGTCCTACGGTAAAGGGACTTGAGGCTAAGACTCTCCATCTTCGGGGGCCCTTAGTTCTTTGATCTGCTTGATGAGGTAACTCTTCTCGTCATTAAACTGTTCGTCCTCGGATCGTTCTGTGTGGAAGCGGGTCAAAAAGTCCACAAGTTTCTCTTTGTTGCGGAGCAAAATATCCAAAATTGGCCTTGGTTTGTTGGGGTTTGCAACAAATATCTGGAGGCAAAATAAATATTCATGTATGTATGTATATATATATATATATATAGACTATGAAATAAAAGTAACAAGGAAAAAGAGACCAGACAGGTTTTAAAATCATTATTATAAGTTACATTTTTTGGAGAAAAAAAAAGTTATATTCTTCAATTCAGTATTTATCATTTAATTAAATCATGGTTTGTAAAACTGTCAGATGAGGAATGTGAAGTATCAAAAAAAAGAAAACATAAGTTGACGATAATAAATTGCATTGAAATAAATTTCTATCAGAGTACTTAAGTTTTAAATAGACCGGCCAATACACAAAAACTGCTTACAATGATATTACTGTCCTTCATTTATTAAACATCAAACAATGCAAATATAAAAGTCAAACGTGTCTGAACCAACCTTGAAAACATGAAAGGCCTCAAACTGGATATTCCTTGACTTCTCACGAAGCATGTTCATCATCAATTTCAAATTCTCAGGGTTGCTGATGTAACGATTCATCGTGCTGAAATTGTGACGGTCCAGTAACAGCTCACCCAGCAGCTGAAATGCCCACCAAGGTTGGAATTTAGAGATCTTAAGTACATATTGAACTTTTATGTTGGATAGCTAGATTTGTTTTAAATTATGAGAGAAAACACCAGTTAGTGGTAGATTATAAATTCAAATCCAACAAAATTTTGTGAATTAATCTAGAGATATAAGAATCAGAAAAGGGAAGAACATTATTTTTTATAATCTACCAATGGGAAAAAATTTGAAAACGATCATGTTTTTAATTTTTATTTAGTAGCCATATCTAAATACTTGGGTTTCAAAACACCACTAAACAAAATATTAATAAAAAAATAACCATATATATGTAGAAGATATTTCCAGATAAAAATAAACAAAAGAACTAATTTTGCTTTCAAGCATTCTCTTTCACTATCCTACCATTTAGTATGTTAGTGAAGTCAGATATGGACATACTTTTCAGAGCCATTATTACAAGCCAAATTGTTAATTTTACAGTAAATATAGTTATATAGTTAATATATAATGGCTTATACATGTCTTCACCATCATTCATATCAAGCGGCTATGTGCTGTTTGGCCTGATGGCTTCTAAACAAAAAGTAACTTAAATTTTCAAAATTCAAATAACAAATTACTGCATTTTTTATTATTATTTTCCAGCTTTACGTTAGCCAAAAAAGTTGGATGCTGACTGAAGAAAACATTTGATTAAAATACTTTTTAAAAAAGCACACAAAGCTTTTTCAATGAGCCAACTTTATAAGCATTAAATCTTTTTTTCTTCTTTACAGAAAAATTTTCATGCAAACAGATTGAGGACATGGCCAGTTTGGAGGTGGCTAAAAGGATGTAAATAGTTTCATAAAGGTTGGGAAACCTCTGCACAGTACAACTCTTATTAACTGTTCCTGGTATCAGAAGCTAACTAAAGAAATACCCCACTCACCTTTAGAGCTTGCCTTCTTGTCACATAGTTCTCCGAATTGAGAAGTGACTGATAATGGGAGAAGACTTCATCATAATTGTGTTCCAGAAACTCAGCGGACAACATTTTATGTTTGGTCAATAGTTCCTGTAAAATAAGGGAAACAAATGTTTGGTCAATAGTTCCTGTAACAAAAGGAAAAAGACAACAATTTGTTGATGCATCTCTTAAGAACACAAGAACTACTGAGTAGAATTTAAATGAAAAATAAAAATCTCTTGTGAAATCAATTAACATTGGTACTCTAAAGAAGACCTCGCTTAGATAAACCATTATTAACCCTGCTTTTAAACACTGTACAGCAGTATATGGGCCACTATTAAGCCACATTTTCAATGAATAACAATGGGGTGACCGCGATCAAGTACACCAAAAAGTATACAAGAAGCAAAGGATAGGGACTCCCATGTGTTTTTTTAGTGCCACAATGAAACCTGTTTCCATTTCACTGTAAAAAAAAACTTTAACTAATTCATGGTTCCCTCTTATTTAAAGTCAAAAACCAGCCCCCCCCCCCCAAAAAAAGAGGAAATCATGACCATTGCAATTAACCATTATTATTGTGAAATTGCGGAAAATTCTCCTTCAACAGTAATTTACCTTAAATGTCGAGAAAGCATCCGAAGCAATATCAAAAGTCGACACCTCCACATACTCAAAGAATTTGTAGAAATCTGGAGCGTACAACAAAACTTTGGCCAGACTTTCAAATCTGCAGCACTCACGAAGCATCATACCACAATTGAGGGCAATTTCTTGATTCTCATAGCTGCAGTGGTCAAACAAGTAATAATATAACTTAAGAGCACAATGTTATGGATCCTTTTTATCATGTTATGCTTGAAAGCAATGGTTGGCAAACCAAGGACAGCAGGGTTAAATAAATCCAGTGCGCTTCTGATTTTGTTTTGTACAGCCACAAGCTAGGAATAACTTATACTTTTTGTAATTCTTAACAGATTCTAAGTACACTACAAGGGAACCTTTTGTGACTTTGTGATGGCTCTTCATTCGTAAGCTTCTTGATTGGCATCTTAGTCTAATATCATGCCAGGCAGTTTTACTTCCTGCTAAACTTCCTGAATGTAAGGCCCTCTAACTAAAAATTCAGACATCCCATTTTAAGACAAACCTTTAACCTTTAATTAGAGCATCCACCCCAATTCACAGCAAACATAATTATTTTCTTGTACATCTGTCTAGTGTACAGACTTCAATAATTATATTATTACAAGACACTATTCCAGTTTACATAGATTTACATACATTAACCATTCAATAATTATATCATTACATAACAATATGCCTGTTTGGTTAGTTTAAAAAAAGTGTGTGCACCACTCCCCACCTTCACCCCTGAAGTGTTCTCATGCAGACCTGTTTACTCTTACGATTTTGGCGTACAATGTACGATTTTGAGGTGTATACATGTTTATTTTTTTACTATTAAGATAGTGTATTTAACGATTTTGTGATGATGTTGTACGATTTTAAGAGTTTGAGGGTAAACAGGTCTGCTCATGTCAAAGCAAAATTCAACGTCATTTATGCCAACCTTACTATAAAAATTTTTTGTTCCATTGAATTTAATGATTTTAATATTTACATTTGGTTTGAGCCTGCTCCTTACTGAGACAGATATTATTATTCTTAATGATATTTTGGTATGTCAAGGAAATACCAGCAATTTAGTGTAAGTTTTATAAGATGAAAAAGAAGGTTGAAAATCACTGCTTTAAAGCGTAATGCAATGATTTTGTTTTAAAAATATGACTATAATTTTTTGTTCTCTCCATTTATGGCTCTCTAAAAGTTATTAATCACTGTTTAGAAGTAAAACAATTTAAAATTAAAGTTGTGTAAATTTAACCCATTCAATCCAGGGCGCTCCAAAATTTTATTCTTGGAAACCCCAGCCAAAAGGGCTTAGCTCCACCCTGACCGTAGAAAGGTTTTGAAAAAAAAAAATAATTAAAACAAATCTATTTTACAGTAATAAGGTGAAATAGATTGATTAGCATTCATAAATGGTTTTTACTTTATGTGTTGTGTAACATTATTTCCTAATCTAATTTTTTTCTTATGTGAATTTGTAAAAGTCAAATTTATGACAAATTACTTGACTACTAATAATCATAACACTAAAATAAAAAATCTACTTTTAAAATAATGAATACTCCTCACCCAATGAACAAAAATATTTTAAAAAACAGAGTAATCTCCCTAGGTCTCATTTCTAGCCACATATTTGTTTAAATGACAAGATTTCAGCCTTTTGTATGCGCATCACAATGAAACTCACCCCTTGACCAAGTCAATCAGTAGACCCGTGTTTAAGCATATATACTCCTCTGTTGGGGTACGAGTCCCTATCTGGCGCCGTAACAAATTGTTGAAGATGGCAACAACATCTTTTCTTCCCTGAAAAATATTGAATGAAGGTCTTTCAGTTTTAAAGATATTATTAGATTTACTAAATGTTTAAAGCTGAGACTTTTTAAAAAACAATAAATTTAGATTTTTTAAAAATATGAAAAGTTAATGAAAAATTTACATCAGTAAAAGGTCATGAAAGCAAACAAAATTTTAAGTTTCGAACCCCCACCCTCCCACTGCACCTGTACATTAAAACCTCCCACCCCCCAAACACATGTACATATTAGAATTTTCATTCCCTCCCCACAAAATCATGGGTACCCGCCCCTTTTTACATCCGCCAGCTCATTTGCATAGTAAATATAATCTTTGGTTCAGCCGAAACAAAATAATAATTATGTTGTTGAAAATTGACAAAATACTGAATGTTGCGCATTGTTTTGCACACCATATATTTTATTGTGTATTGACTTCAGGTTATGTTGTGATGCAGTCCTTGTTCCATGTTGATAGAACTCCATGTTGTTCTCTTAAAATAATTAAAACATTGAACTAACCTTGATGGTTGCCATTGCTTGTTTCATTATCTCCCTTGTGAAGTGGATTAGCAACTTATATATTTTGAAGCGGATTAGCAACTTAATATTTTCAACATATGTCACACTCACAGAAACACAAAGGCTAATGATGGACTTAATTTAAGTTGTAACTAGAGTAAAGTTTGACTGTTATGATGTCTAGCGAGTTCATTTGTGAAAATACAAAGCAACAGTATAACAATATTTACACAACATTGCAGCGACATGGCCTTTGAAAACAATTAGAAATCAAGGATTTTACAGAGTTATAGGTGACAGCTTTATAAGATAGGCTATTTATAAACTGTCAGAATTTTAGAATTGTTTTAAACAAATGTGCAACCCTGAGGAAAATCTGTTAAATCAAAAGGTCCCCCCCCCCCCTTGCAAACAAAGTGTTAGCACGATGGTAAATTCATACAGACTGGGGAATAAAGGAATTTTTATATCTTTTGGTCCTGACTTTAAAGAATAGGCCATAACCAAGCTGATCTTAGTTATCTGTGATGAAGTTGGTGGGATATTTCCAAAATTTTGTTAGTTTTACAACAGCAGTTTTCTTCAAATAGTTCTTCAAGTGAAGCATGTTTAGTTTGTGTCATATTACTAGCTTTCTTGATTAGTCTATTTAATCTGTGTTTGACGTCAGACGATGAATTCCCAAATCAACGGCAATACTGAAGTTTAGAACGCTTCCAATAGCTGCACTTTAGAATAAGTTGATAACTTGTTTGTTTACGACGAAATTTTACAGTTTTTAAGATGGACATGGTAGACATTTTTATACTTAATTTGGCCTTGTTCACGCCATATCAGCTTATTATTTAAATGTCTCTATTAGCTCTATACTTAGATTATTTATTGTGAGATCTGCACAACCATTTCATTTATTTTTGAGACATTCATCTTAATAAATTTCTCATCGCAATGTCTGATAAAGCCTGTAACTAGGTTGCAGTATAAGCTTTCCCATTCAGATATTAAGTCAATGCTAGTGGTATCATCAACAAATTTAGTGACTGGAATGGTGTTGCTAGGGCTCTATGATACTACATATCATTGGTATATAGTGTATATCTGTACAAATTTACCAGCATTTACTAGCGTTCTCCCCCAGAAGTCACTAATATATATGAGAACTAATAAGTCCCTGATCTGATTTAATGATTTAATGTAGATGTCTTGTGTTCAAATTGTTTTATTTATGTGCTGAAAATGTGCAATGCAATCAAAAAAAGTTTCCATTTGTTTGGATCAATAAAAGAATCTAATCTAATTTTAAACAGGACAGGGGAGAGAACACAACCTTGTGGTGCTCCAGTACTTATTATTCTATATAATGTTACTTGCTCATTCCTTTTGACATATTGTGGGCGATTTATTAAAAAGTTAAATATCTATGCTTGATTATTTGAATTTACACCTAAGGAATAAAGCTTTTAATCATAAGGTATGGTTGGATAGTGTTAAATGCTGATGAGAAGTCTAGGAAAAGCACCCTGGCAATAATAATAATATGGGATTCTCGATACTTCTCGCAGATTTTTAAGCAAATTGGTGGCGGTTAAATTTTTGCTATACTTTCTTTAAAGGTCTGTAAATAAAGTTATGAAAGGAAATTTTTAAAATTTGAACTATGTAAGATGTTTTTGTTGAGCCCCAGTGACTGACCTCAAAATCAACACGAGCTAAATTCTGTATAAGCAAGGGCAGTGTATTGTTCTGGTACATCTCTGTAGACAGCATTGCAACCTGCTCTGTTGCTGGCTCTTGATCCACTGTGCCATACAGCAATGTTTTTATGGACTGCAGCGTTTTAGACACTTCCTCACTCACCTGCGGGGAAAACAAGACATGTCAACATATTAGTGATTTTGTAAATGAAACAAGGGGAGGAGGGAGGTACTCAACCTTAATTTGTTTTCCAGAGAAGTTTATGGAATCAATATTTTTTAGTTGTCATAGACAGTTTTAGACAAGGTAAGGAACAGATGTGATTACCAATATGATCAAGACATGGGGTTCAATTCTTAGAAATTATTATAACAATGACTGAAATATTAGTATTTAATTAAAGTAAACAGATTTTCTCCCAAAAATGAATTGCATGCCACTGTAGTAAGATCCTCAAAATAAACATAAAATTAAAAAATATATAGCTCTCTCGAAAATGTTGACAAATTTGTAAAAGATCAGTTACTTAAACCAGATTTTTTACCATAATATACCTGATTATTGGGACCTCTTTATCTTATTTTAGTTGCATGTATTTCAATCAACGTGTGAGAAAAAAATGGGTAGAAACCATAATAAACATCATAACAATGGTTAATATCCTGAATTCACTTTTTTTTTAAAAATGTATTGTAAAAAAAAATCATAAAATAATGGGTGAGAAGGAATGAACAATAAGTGTCATGGAAATGACAATATTTGGGACAACAACTCTTAAAAACAAAAATCAATACTTTATGGCAGGCAGTTAGTTACATATTTCTCATTATTTATTTAAATTAGTTAAAAATCACAATCTTTCACTTGCTGTAGAAATAACTGTAATTTGTACAGTTTAGAGTGTGTGAAGATTTAAATTCAAGGTAAACCATTATGTTAAATTTTAAATTTAGAATTGCAAAGATTAATCAATGGATAATGAGATTATAACACATTTGTACCGAATTAGATATAAGCAAGATCCTAAATAGTCCATATTTATTATTTTCTGCCGCACTCTTAATTGCAAAATGACAAGTTGCACAACAAAAATAACAGGTCTCTTTTCTCCAGACTTGCCTAGGTTTAAATAGATTACTATAATTATAATGTAACCATTCTTGTATATACTTTCCTGTTTATTTTTTTTTTTACCTAGTCATGTATTGAAATGTCTCAAACTATTGGGATATACCACACCATTCCACTTTTTGACACTTTGATTTTTTTACAATATTAATCGGACACATTTGTGTGAGCATGTGCTAAGTGGCTTGTGCATCATCCATTGAATTTTATAAAAACATTGTAAGAAGAAATTCAAATAATCCAGATTTATTTATTTGTGGGGACGGGTGTGGTGTTTAGTGTGTGTAGTAACATTATGGACACTTTCCCCATGCTTATAATTAGGACATTAGAGTTACATTTACCAGCAGCATCCCCTGTAGGGTAGTTAAGTTGCATCAGCTTCAACAAAGACCATTAATGATACTGGATTTCACATTTTTTTCTTTCCAGAAAATAAAAATATTATTATTTTTCAATACTAAACATACATTTTTCGCAATAATTCTTTACCCCTTACTCCCAGTCCACAATAAAAAAAATTTTTGCTATTGAAAGAAAAGACATTAGATTTATTTCATCCAATAAATAACTTTAAAATATCACCTCACCTTCTTATACTCCTTCTCTTTCAAATTGGGTAGTTGCACCAGATTTTCCTTCAATGACCGAACAAGTTCCTGAGGGCTTTTGGTCCTAGTTCCAAACAGAGGCATTGTGCTGTATGGTAAGGTTGGCTAGTAGCCTCAAAGTACTATGCAAAGATACTTGATTAGACTGTTTCTGAATAAACTCAAACAAAACTCTCCATCAATTTGTGGGAAGCCTGTGTATGTCCTATGCAAATCACAGTTGCAAAGAAGACAGGGCGTGAGATAGATAAGTTCAGTTGAACAGATTTGATTCCAGCATAACACTACTGTAAGGAGCTAGTACTCTAGTGGATGTATCTGCTTGAGTTATGCCACCTAAAATAAAAAATATAATAAAAAAGCAAGATCATTGGAAAAATGCATGATAATGGCATAATTTAGGTACAAAAAGGTTAAAACAATTTCTTTAACATTATAGTCTACATCTCTAGGTATAGCCTGTCACAGTATTCTACTGTTTGATACAGCATGTTAAAGCAAAACTTTTATATTTTTGTTGTCCCTAATATTGCATGTTCAATTACTAATTTTTCATATAAACAAATTTTTACAGTGATTACTATTACCATAACACTAACAGTAATTTTTACAGTGACAAATTTTGTGTAAACACCTATTCCTTTTTAATAAAAGCCCTATTTATCTTTTACAGAGCATTTTTTTAAAAAAGTATACTCATTGTTTTCTTAACAAGCACAACTATAAAATGTCATATTTTGTTTGCTATGATTGACATCCCACTGTTTTAAAATTAAAATTATGGAGTTGAGAAATTAACAACACTAAGAATTCATACTCTACTGACCAAAAGGAAACATGCCTTTTGTTTCCATAACAGATATCCTATGAAGCCTAGTTGCACTTTCACACTGTCTACACACCTTTCAAAACTTGCATTGTTTATGCTACCCTGTTTGCACAGCTCATTGTAGTCACACAAGGCCAATTTAACTGAGAGGTAATTCATTCATGCACTTTCATCAGAATACAGGCATACCCTCCTATTCCTTTCACAAGTCTAGTCTTTCTGGGTCAGATATTTTTGCACCATGTGGAAATGTTTATGACACATTGGCAATTTACGTTATTCACCTAGTTTCCATTCCACTTTATGACCATTTTGTTGTGTGCTTGAAACCGTTTAGGATTTAAAATAAAATGCCTTGAAGCCCCAGCGAGAAACTTTAGAATTACAATGACTCCTAAACTTGGCCTTTATTTTCTTTCATTCTAATATGCATTCTGTGTCCAATTAACTCAAAAAGACTTTTCAGTTGGCTATTTTCAACAGGCCATATGTTCTGAAGAATGGCTGGCAAAAAACAAAACAAAAACACATTGTCTAAGATAGATAAAGGTCACTTTAAAGTCTCAGTTCATACACTTCTATTCCCATAAAAATGCTTGATTCATTCCAGAGACTCAGTACACTGCATGAATTATGTACCAGATTACTCAAATGTAAAAACACACAAAAATTTAACAGTTAAGTGTTAAGTTTGTTCAAACCGTAATGTAACACTTTTCTTGCAAAGGAGAGGTTAAAAATTATAGTCTAAAACAGTGTTTCTTCCTAATGGCACGACCCTTACTTACAGTTCTTCATGTTGTGGCGAACTCCAACCACAAACTAACTGTAGAGTATATGTATTTTCCGATGGTCTTAGGTGACCCCTGGAAAAGGGTCGTGCGACCCCCAGGTTGAAAACTGCTGGTCTAAAATAATTAGTCTGCTAAATTTCTTTTAGAGATAAATAAAGGCAAAATTTCTCAAATTTTGAAATTTAAAGTCCACAGCCAAGAGATAAAATGAATCTTCTGCATAACTTATTTTTACATTGTCTGTAATATTATTAGCCCACTTTACATTTAATATATTGCTTTATTAGATGCAGTTTGAATTTTTAGCCTTTATGTATATTTTGTAGCGCTTGTGACCAGTACTAGCACTAAGTAACAAGGAAATGAAATTTAGATGGTGTTTAGATGGTTTAAGAACATATAAACCAGCATTGAAATATACAATTCAAATTGTTATACTAGTCTCTGTGTATTAATATCACACCACAATAATCTTTGATAATGAAGACCTGGAGATGGCAACCAACTCAATATTTCGGATGAACCATAGACAGCACTGAGAAGAGAAAAAGTTATCCACAAAATTCAGACCCTGCTAATCACTGTTGACATAACAAGGATGGTAACTGCAAATTTATTATAACTTAATTTCAACATAATAAATCTATGAAAATTTTGTTATCACATCCAGTCATAAAGTTAGAGAAATATGTACACAATACGGCTGCATAGCTTTGGTAATACAACTTCAAATAAAAAATAAATGAAATTTTCCTGGTCCATTACATTTGAGTTCCATGTTCTTTTAATGAATACCGGACATTCACACATTTATAGAAAGACATCAGATGAGATCTATGGATTGTTCAGTGTTGCTGTATTTCCCATTTTCCTATTAAAAAAAAAACTACTTACTAGTTAATTCTTTTAATAGCCAAATTTATTTAATTGCCAAGTCGACATAAGTTTTTAATTAAATAAAGAAAAGCTGGTGAAGATAATATTTATGATGAGCTAATAGTAGAATGGACTGTTTTTGTAGGAAATAAGTGTAAAGGAAAAGTTTCCAAAATTTTGCAGAGATATATATACTTCCAAATATAAGTATTAACAAATTAGCCCATCATTTGTCACAAAAACTGGTACTAAATTAATAAAGTATTGTGCATCATTTAGTAAAAGAATGAAATATATCTGGTTACTGAAATAATTGCTTAAAGAAAGGAGGCACACAATATTATCAAAACCACCTTAAAAGAATCTTTCATTATTGTTCAATGTTTCGGCTAAAATTTGACAAAAAGTTATTAAAATCCTTTTGACAGATAACACAATTGGAAGATGCATGCAAGACATGTCTGATATCATGAAATAATAAAAAATATATATTTCAAGATGATGATGTATAACTAAAATTGCAGTAAGACGAATCCACATATTTCAGTGGTTTAGCACAATTACTGTGTTGTATACATTTTAATCACAAGTAAAGAAATCAGTTTTTAAATTCTTGCATATATTTAATAAATTATAAATAATGTCATAAATCTTGGAATGTACTGTATGTTACTGCATATAATGCAAGAAATGTATGGTAAATAAGCTACTTAAAAATAGTGGTTTGTATTACATGTGCATGCACAAAGCAAGTAATTTTTTTAATGATATTATGGTATAGTTGTATCCCTTAACGGGATTTAAGTTTAGTTGTATAACTGTATGGTTATGATCACAATCAATTTTGATGATATAATAATTTAAATATTAGTTATTTGTATTGTATGTTTAATTATTTTGGAATAAGATTAACAGATCACACTGCACGTGGACATAGCATTTTAGATCTTTTTCATAAAAAATGTTAGGGGTTTGCAATATTCGTGGATCAAGGTATACTTAAACACAAACATTTTCTGGTAATATACAGTCAGTTATTATTTTTTAAAATCCTACATTTAAAAACTATTAATGAAAAGTTTTCATGAGATATATTGTGTTCCCATAGATTTCATCATACCATTTTATGTTTTTGCAAGAATGTCTTACTGCTAAAAATCACTTAACTCAGACAACTTTGTCATGAAATTATGATTAGCTAAAAAGTGTGTCACTGTCAACAACATGAAAACTCAGAAAAGTTTTAAAGTTAGAGAGCAGAGGCTTAGCTTATTGAACTTATTTTGATCACATTCATATCACACTATCATAAAAACTAGTTATGCCCTTAGATTGGTATAGATAAAGCTACATTAGATAAGTGTTGATGTAAATTGTGTAATATATATAATATTATATTCAATCATGATTTACTTTAAATCCTGTTGTTCCGGTATTAAGTGCTATTTAAACAGTTATATTTTTTATTGGTATGGACAGTGAAGAGAGGGGCATTGAAAAAGAGAATGGCCGATTTTTCTTGTCGAAGAGCCAGACAGACATGCTATCAGTTTATAGGAGTATATAGAAAGATCAATCCTACCAGGCTCACTAATTGTATCTGACAAATAAGCAGATCATGCGAACATAAACCAAATCAGAATATACAAACACTCTGTTGTGGTCCATACAAATTTTGTTGATCCAAATGATGCTGGTGTCCATAAACAGAATGTTGAATAATGTGGATGCAAGTAGAGCACAAACTGAAAAGACAATCTGGCACAAACTGAAAAGACAGTTTAGCACAAGCTGCAAACTTTTCCCTTGCTATTTGCATGAGTTCCAGAACCGTTTTCATGGAGATGATATTATTTTTAAAAACTTCATTGATACCAAAGGGGAGAACTATGCATAATGCCATAATCTCAAACTTTGTTGTCTTTTCATATATTAAATTTTTATATTTTAAACTTGGATTACTGGGTTATTTATATATGTGCTGAAATGAAAATGTTGCCTACAATATTATTCCATCCATCCATCCCTGTGGCGCTACAGCCCATTTAAGGCTTTGGCCTGCCTCACCACTTCCTTCCACTCAGACCTAATTAATGCCTTTCTTTTCCATGCTTGGACTTTCAACTGCTATAGATCATTTTCCACATCATCTATCCACCTAAGCCTAGGTCTGCCTTTGAGCCTTTTTCCTCTGGGGTATTGGTGATGCACCCTCTTCGTTCCTCTGTCATTTGGCATTCTCTCTAGGTGTCCTGCCCAGCGTAGCCTGCCTCTTTTTATTTCTGCCACTATCGTGGGATCCTGATATAGACTGTATAATTCATGGTTGGTTCGTATTCTCCATCCATATTCATCCTTTGTTGGCCCATATTGCCATATATTTTCCTTAGAACTTTCCTCTCCCATGTGTTTAATAGATTTTCTGCTGTTTTTGTTAGGGTCCAGGTTTCACTTGCATATGTTACAACTGGTCTGATTACAGTTTTATAAATAGTTTTCTTTGTTTCTCTTGTTATATTCTAACTTTTGAGTATTTTCTGACTACTGAAGTATGCCCTGTTTCCAGCTGATATTCTTTCTTTTATTTCTGTTAGTAGTACTTTGTTTCTTTCATTTAATAAAATCAACGTTACGAAAGCCAATCTACAATATTATTAGTCAATAATATTGTCAATATGTAATAAAAACATTTGCATCTATTTGGATAAATAAAATAAAAGAATTCTATTTAAATAGCACTTCAACTGGAACAAAAGGACTTTTTCAGAACCGACACTGAAGTGATAGATTAACCTTTATTTATTGTTATTATTATTAGGCCTGATTGATTACAATTACAGATTCAAATTATCAGGGCCTAAAAAAAAATGATAATTCTCTGCTTCCCCCTTTCCTTTCTCAATCATCTTAGTCATAAGTCATAGTATTCATAGTGTGTGTTGCTGCTAGAAGTGTAAGTGTAATGTTCAATAATAAAAATAACGAATGCCTAAAAATAAATTCTTTTTGTTTACTTATTAAAATTATAGGCCTACACAAATTATAAATTAGCTATTCACAAATTCGATATTCTTCTTCTCAATAATCGTATGCCTTATTTAGTTATTTATAGGCAGGCCAGGTTAGGTCAGTCAGGACTATTATTTTTATTATTATGATGAGGAAGGTGGGTTTGGAAGGTTGAAGAATATATCAAAGATTAACTTAAGTACTAGTGTACATCTGCCATAAGTTGCTTCGAGAGATTTCTTCATAAATATCAATTAAGATACTACAGGAGGACGTACCCTACAAGTCCATTTTCGTATGAAGGTAATATAGAAGAAATCGACTGGGGGCCTCTCATCGAAGTTCTATGATGACGTCATAGAACTGCGCAGACACGGAAGTGAAATAAAAATTATGTACGTGGTTCGCTCTATTATTAAATAATCGCGTTTTTGTAGCTTTAAAAAAAAAATGAAAAAATTTAGGATACAGTAAAAAAAAAATGAATTTGTATGTGGGGGAAATGTGACCGACACATCAATCATGAGTCTAAACTTCAGTCATTGAATTGTTCACAACATATTTTTTAATGAACTCCAACTCTCAATATTTATCTTCTTTGACTCATCGTCTTAAATTAAATATGTCAAGAGCTATAATGGATAAACAGGCATCCATGTTTCTTTGCCTAATAAAAATGTCATCAACATGTCCACTTATGATTTTCTTCCCAACAAAGTTTGATTAAAAATGTATTTTCCCCGTATTCTCTAGATTTATATCGATAAGCTTTGCATGCACAAATTCACGTCTC